AAATCAATTGCCAGGCGTTTTTTCTAAGGCACCTCTGGGTGGACTCTAACCTCCAATGTCTCACTTAGCAGCTGGGCATGATAACTAACTGGTTGCGCCACTCAGGGCCATTGATATTTAGTAATATGGGGTGAATTGCCTTACTTTATATTGGAAATATTTAGATAAGCCTTTTATATAGTAGAAATATGAACAATTTAATGAATAATGTACGTTAACGTATGTTAACTTTTCCTTAAGTTTTATATTTCCTAATTTTTTTTGTGTCCCTAACATATACACATGTTCTGTTTTACGATGACAAATACATTGAATTCTATCTCTATGATTTCTCCATCATTATATTTACCAACTCCTTCTCCAATGAGAGAGCAAAGGTATCTTTGTAGATTGCTGTTGTTTTAGGTTGTTCAATCAATTCCGACTCATGGCAAACCCATATGTTACAGAGTAGAATTGCTCTATAGGATTTGCTTTGCTATAATCGTTAGGGAAGCAGATTGCCAGCCCTTTTACTCCATAGTGCCTGTAGGTGGGTTTGAACCACAAACATTTTGGTTAGCAGCCATGGACATACTGTGTTCACCATCCAGGGACTTGTATTTATAGATTGTAAGTATATATTTATAATTTTATTTTTACATTTATATTTTGTGTTTTATGCTTAAATTTATCAAATATTTCAAATTAATCTAGTAGTTACTTAGGTATAAATTTGTTTTTTCTTTAAGTAATAAGCTACTTATTTGTGAATGAGTCTTCCTTTTGCTAATGCTTGCTTAACATATTAATTATTGGCTTTGTGGCATATTAATAAAAAGATCATATGCTGTGTCATATAAGGATGTTGTTAGATGCCACTGAGTCAGTTTTGACTCATAGTGACCTTATCTGCAACAGAATGAAACACTGCCCAGTCCTACGCCATCCTAATAATCATTGCTATGCTTGAGCCCATCATCGTTGTCACAGTGTTAATTCATCTCATTGAGGGTCTTCTGCTTTTGACTGACCCTCTACTTTAGCTAGCTTGATATCCATCTCTAAGGACTAGCCTTTCTGACAAGCCACATAAGTATACTTTGAGAAATTAAAAAAACACGTACAGAAGTGATTCCACTTTGGTTCCCTTTTCTTAATCATGTATTAAATGAGAAAACCTAGGCATTTGACTGCTAACCAGAAGGCTGGAGGTTCAAACTCACCAGCCACTCCTTGAAAGGAAGGTTGGGCAATCTACTTCCATAGTGATACCACCTTGGAAACCCAAGGAGGAGTTGCTATAAGTCAGATTCGACTAGATGGCGGTGCTTTTGGTTTATAAGTGCTTTATTATAAATGCAGAGAATTGTTAAAACCATTTTACAGTTTGTTTGTTTTTCTTCCCCCATCATACTGGGCAGTTTTTTGTTTTTGTTTTTTTTCCTTTTATAATCCTGTTTTTCCCTACTGCTATTGCTTATGTTTATGGAAGAAAGTAGATATCCTTGAAACACTATTTTCTTTCAAGAAATGTGCTTAGAAAGAATTGACAGGTGAATTATCTGTAAAGTAATTATCATTAGGCTGCTATTATCAGAGAAGGAAGTCCCTGACCTTTACCTGCGGCTTGGTACTTAAATATCCTTTGTCCTTTACCACGTGTAACTCTTCTCATTTTAAATTAATTACCTTTCCCTGAAGAGCTACATTTAATAATGCCAAATATATTACCCTTGTTCACATTAGGCAAATGGGTAGTTGACCCCAGTTTCAATCATGGTTTTGATTTGTAAGGCTGAGCAGTTTTTACTTATCACTTCTAGAGTGGAAAAAATTCCATGAGTTTAAGTCAGTGGACTGCTATTACATTATCTCTTGTAGAGGAGCTGAATTTTCTAAATTGATTGTGCTGACATTTCACTGTTGAGATGTAGTCTGCATAATGCATCCTATTCCAGCCTGGAATGAAAGAATTACAGAGAATGGGAATAAAGTAAGCAAATATTAATCAATTACTTAATTTCTAGGTTATGAATTTCTATCTCAAAATTGGCAAAATCCTATGCAAATATATCAACTCCAAATGCATCTTATTAGAGATGCTATTTCATTAAGGCATTTTTTTAAAAATTTTAGAAAGAATAAACATCAGTAAGATAACTACAGAGGATATTAGGTAAATCTGGAAAGCCTGGAATTTAGTAAAGCAAGTTTTATATCTGTAGATCAGAAACAAAAGAACAAATTAAGCATTTCATGAAAGAAGGCAAAGGTGAAGGACCATGACTGAGTAATGAAATACCAGGTGTTTATGAAACCCGGAGTCCTGGGGGAACCAAACTAGAGTGGAGAAGAGGGAAGGGAGCCAGACCTTTCAATAAAACAACATAAACAGGATACAAAAAGAGCAAAAACAATGATCAAGGATTGCACAATATGTGTGTAATCATAGCCATAATTTCCTCCCATCAGAGATTAAAAAGAACAATAAAAAGTATTGAGTCAGAGCTATGACAATCTCTAAAAGCCACATTAACTGCAGTTTAAAAATTAGCAAGAAACCAGTTATAAAGAGGAAATCGAGAGACCACCAGAACTGAAGTTACCCACTTTGGTTGTCATGATAATAACAAAGGCTATTATCTTTTAAGGGAATGACAGAAAAAAAGACTTCAGAACATTACCTCTTAAGAAAAATCACATAGTCTGTAATGTTGCTAATAATACTTCACGCTTTACCCTTCAAAGAACTTTACTCTAAACTCCCAAATACACCATATGCTGTGCCACCAACTTGATAAATGGGAGGCAATCGGGAAAGATAAATGAGTCATCATAGGAAATAGATAAAGATCAGAACCTGGCTATGGAGCTAATATTCTGTCACCTAGGATAAGCTATGAGTCGAGTGCAACTCAATAGCAAATAACAACAACAACAAGCTTTATTTAAATTTCTTTTTAAAAAATCTTGCTATGGAATTATTAAATGAATACACACACACACACACACACACACACTCACTGAAATTTATTTTAAGCATGAGGCATGACCCTGCTATGGTTTTTGAGAATGTAAATGAGTTGATAGTTACCATATTTTACAAACCCAAAAACCAAACCCACTGCCTTCAATTCGATTCAACTCATAGGGACCCTGTTGGACAGAGTAGAACTGCCCCATAAGATTTCTGAGGCTGTAAATCTTTACAGAAGCAGGTGGCTTCATCTTTCTGCTACAGAGTGGCTATTGGGTTCAAACCACTGACCTTGTGCTTAGCAGCCTAATGCACCACCAAAGCTCCTTGATTGTATTACAGTAGATTTTTTTTGTTTTTTCTTGTACTTTAGGTGCAAGTTTACAGAGCAGAGTTTGTTTTACATCCGTACGTACATTACATGTACATTTAGTTTCACTCCCCATTTACCATCCCCAACCCTAACCCGGTCTCCTCCCCTCCCTGTCCAGTAATTCCCCTCCCGCTGTGAGTGGGAGGAAAAACGAGGAGCAAAATACAGCAGCATTTTCAAATGTCTGGGCGTTTAAAGGAATTCATTAGAAAATGAGTAAAGAACATCCAGTTCACCAAATGAGCAAAAGCAGGAGAAAAACCAAACGGACAAAACCCTGATGATGTGGATACAGCGCAGAGCCAAGGCAGCACTGGGGACCATTCAGCCTCATTAACCAGGGATTCGAGCTGTGACCTGCCTTTGGTCTCGTGTGGTACACTGCCAGCTGCATTTCTCTGGTACAGAGGGTGGGTCACCATATACTTTTTAGTTAACGGGGCTGGTAGCCAGAGAAGTTTCTTTTCCTTTTCTCATATTTCCAGAATTGGAAGGATTTTTCCTACATATCTTTCACACAAAGATGCAGGGTAGAATCTACCCACTGTGAATAAATTTAATTTAGCCATTTTTATGCCTTCCTGATTTCCATCGACTTCAAGTCTACAATACAGGGGCAGATGTGCAAACTGGGAAATCTTCCAGACTTCTTTGTTGTTGTTGTTGTTGTTATTCTACTTAATGCTGAGCCACTCAACAATACTCCACATTAAACAGGGCTCTTGTGTCTGTAAACATGCTTCCAGTTTTACTAAAGATGAATTCACTATTCATGCCAGATTGTGGGCCAGGCAAGCTTAAATGTTTGAATTGTTTTTCAATAATATTGCTTCAAAGGGTAAAGACCATCATGTTTTAGGGGTGGTTCTTTTTGTTCATTATGCTTTCTCACACTTGAAATCACATTACCATGTTATAGTATACCGTGGTATGGCAAATATTTCCACAGATGACATAGTCTCAAGTATCAAATATGCACACAGTATCAAAATTCAATCCATAGTAAAAAGGGAAATTCAGCTTTAAATGTTGCTAACCTTCCAACTATGGTCCTACTTAGTTACAGCACCAACATTCAAAATACTGTGTCCATGCCTTTCCACTTCATTTTTAACAAGTCACCAGTTACAGCTTCCATATGCTATTTGGATCGTGTATTTAGTGATATCTAGAAACAGAGTAAATTCTTTTTGAAATCATTATTCTAGGTTACAGTACAAATGGTCACATGCACTGAAATGTTTTGCCACAAAATGACTTTTAATGTTACAATCTAGCTCTAAAATTCAGATATGAACTTGTGTTCCTAGTACACCAATTAGTTTCTGAATTTTCTGTAAAGGAGGCCAGTTAATAGTTTCCAGTTATTGGTTTTTCACAGTTTTTCATTTTTATCTGTAAAGTGGGAGAGAAACTAATTTTATTCCAAAGGTTTAGTTACACGTAATAAGATGCAAATGTGAACAATTCAGGATATGGTTTAGGGGCTATTACTTTAGTTGAATTTTTCCATCCTGTTTGGCTGTGGCTGACAGTATTATGCTCGATGACAGAGAGATGGAGAATATATCTTTTAGGTTCATCTAAGTAAAACTATGTCACATGTTTTCATGTGCTCATAGCCCTCTCTGTTTTTAATTTATTACCTACATTTTTCCAATTCTGCAGTTGAAACCCGATGAAAGGATCATCAAAACCGAATATGGGCTACTGATTCGCAGTTTGCAGAAGAAGGACTCTGGGATGTATTACTGCAAAGCACAGGAGCACACTTTCATCCACACCATAGTGAAGCTGACTTTGAATGTCATTGAGAATGAACAGATGGAAAATACCCAGAGGGCAGAGAACGAGGAGGGGCAGGTCAAGGATCTGTTGGCTGAGTCACGGTTGAGATACAAAGACTACATCCAAATCCTTAGCAGCCCAAACTTCAGCCTGGACCAGTACTGCGAACAGATGTGGCACAGAGAGAAGCGGAGACAGCGGAACAAGGGCGGCCCAAAGTGGAAGCACATGCAGGAAATGAAGAAGAAGCGAAATAGAAGACATCACAGGGACCTGGACGAGCGTCCTAGAGCTGTGGCCATGTAACTTTCTATTTAATTTAAAGAAAAGTGTTTTTTACCTGCGAATATACTGTCTTCTGTTTTGTGCATCCCTTACACTAACTCATAAATGCTTTCCAAAGAGTTTTGCTAAGGCACAAGAACAGTAATCTGTATAAGATTATATGTGGTGAATATAGGATAGTAAGGGGAAATAATTCATCTGAACCAGTTTTCCAACAGGTAAACCTGCAACTGCAAAGTATATGAATTACCCTCAAAAGAGGGAGCTTTACATTTGTGAATGTTTTTATGTTTTGAATTTATTGTGTCATGTAAATAATTGAGCTAAGCAAGAATCAAATTTAATATTATAATAAGGTGGTTATTTTCCTTGCATATCTGTTAAGCATGGAGTCTGCCATGCACTTGTCCTATGTTCTTATGAATATATACGTCATTCCATTCTAGTCTTGGTGACCTTGTAGGAATTGGAGGGAAAACACAAATTCAGATAGCTCGTATTATCAATAGAAACATCTAAAACGTCCCTTCCTTCCCAGAGTGTGGTTTAGGAATTTGGAGAGGTGCATTGTTTCTTTCAGACCACAGGGGTTGCATTTAGTATAAAGTAACATTGATTTATTGAAGAGCATAAATGCCCCTCCCAGGAGTCCTTATGACTTGTTAGGAGTAATATATTGACAAGGGGAAGCTGGTGCTCAGTTTTGGTTTTAGAATGTATGTTGAGCACTACTAGACACAATGCTTAATAAATATTTTAGTAAAATATAGGAAAGTATTTTAATAAGATAAGGGATCCATCATGACATATACTGCAGATGGGATTTGTTAGGGGACAGAAGGAAAGACAGCCATGCATCCTGGCTTTGGGGAAATCTCCTATCCCCATAGAAAGGAAGAACAATCACAAAGTAGGTGAAGTGTAGTGGAGCTTTGTTCACTAGCTTATAAGTAGCTGCCAATTTGCCATTCATTTGTTAAAAAAATAATCAAATTATAACAAACTGCTAGCAAAATTCTGAGGGAAAGTAAATTTTCTGAAGGATCTTTCAAAGGATAAACAAATCTTTACAATTAATGGGATTTCTGTTTGTACTTCCTCTCTTTTTCTATGGATTTATCAGACTCTATGTTTTATTTCCGTTTAATACCTTTATTCTCTCCTACATATTGGATTATTTGAGTATATTTTAATGACTAGGGAAAAGAAAACCATGTATACATACAAAAAGGGATAGAATTAGGTAGATGGCAGTGGTGGGAAGTAGGGGACATGTTTTTGGTGACTAGGAGAACAAGGGCAAAATTTTGATAACGGGAAGGGTTTAAATGAACTCTTTGACATCTTTTCTTCATGCTACCTTTCTGCAGTTCTGAGATGATGTTGCAACTCAAGTCATGTTGTCTTGGTAATTTAATAATAAATAAGCCTACTGCATGCAAAGAAAACAAATCCATAACAGTAGCATAAACATCTTTCGTATTTTGATAGCACTTTCAAATGTTTCCAATTTGACTTTCCCTCTGAATATCTATGGTATATTTCCTGTCTGTTTAAGCAGGACTCACCTTTCTTTCTTATATAACACACAACCCACAGCCTTTTTCTGTTTTGCTTTTTCACGCCCTTTTTAGTGTGAAATGAAAAATTAGTCACTTCTTTGAATGGAAGGAAGCTTTTCTGAAAACTAAATAACAGACATTACTTGTTTCTCATGCATTCTACATAACTGGAGAGAAAACTCAATGAGAAATTCCTGTGATTAGAGGGCAATTTATTAGAGTTGAATATCACATCACTGACTCTAGCTTTGTCTCTGCCATACATTGATTTTATTTTCATTGTTTACCTCTCTGAAAGTAGTCTCTCATATACGAGATTAAGTGCCCTCTTTTGATATAACTATGAAGCTTTATAGAAATTTAAGGAAACTGGTTTTTGAAGTAACCAAAATGAATCACTCTTTTAAAAAAGTATAGCTAAGAATAGTTGTGGCAAGATCAGATGGCCAGTTGAATATCATAACAAGAATGTTTATAACTATTGATTTGCTAGGTTAGAATAATACAGGAACTCCCAGCAAGCTCAAAGTAAATAAGTGGGAGCATGTTTTAGTTTTAAAAAGATTTTCAAATATTAGTACATCAGACAGTGATGAACAAATTTTGTACGGCTTTGGAAAAACTAGGTCCCTGAGTAGTAAAAATAATTTGCACTTGACTAATACCTAAAAAGGAGCTCTGGTGCCTAAGGTAACTAAGGCTGCTAACCAGAAGGTTGGTGGTTCAAACCCACCAGCCACTCTGCAGAAGGAAGACCAGACTATGTACTTCAGTAAACATTTACTGCCTTGGAAAGCCAATGGGGGTCGCTATGAGTTGAAATCGACTCGATGGCAGTAAGTTTGGTTTGGTTTGACCACTCTAAAGTTTGGTTCACACTCACATAGTTGTTCTGTGCAATAAAGGTCTGGTGACTGGTGATCTGTTTCCATAAAGATTCCAGCCAAAAAAAGTCTATGGAGCTGTCTACTCTGTAACATAAGGTGTCACCGTGAGTTAGAATCAACTTCAGTGCAATGGGTTTGGTGTTTTGTTTTGAAAACTTACATGAAGCTCACATGTCAGAATTGACTTATGAAAATAAATTTAATCTTCATCAAAATATGAATGTCCAAAGCATTTAATTACTACTTTCTAATCTTATTTTTTTCAGACAGAAATTTGGGAACCTATTTTATGCCATATATCTCAAGATATTTGTATATAATCTAGCAACTTTGGATCTAAAACTATTATTTTGAGTTGAATGCATAAAGTATATTGGAAATATTAATAATATTGAATGGCATATAATAAAACTTCCACATGTGAGAAAGACTCATGTGTGTTTCTAGAGACAGGGATCATATAAGCTATGTCTAAAATTTTTAATCCTTCAATTGCCTAGAACCCCTAAAGGAGTAGTTTAAATATATTAGATCCACACATACAACACATGCTTCCTCATCATTGAAGATTTTATCAAATTTGCTTTGAAATAGGAAAAAGAAAACTGTAACAAGAAATATTTCCACCAAGTGACTCAGATGAACGGCTGTATCTTTATGGAACTATGTTTTGGAATCATTAACCATTTGGTTTGACATGGAGTATAAGCAGTTTGTGGGTAGGATTGTGCTGTACGCTTCTCCCCTGCTCTTTGCCCCATGATTCATGGCGTAGTACTAAGATTTCTACTCAATTTAGTATAGTAGAAATATATTCCAAGTCTATCTTTTAACTTAATTTTCAATGTAATTACATAATAGTTATACAAAAAAATTGTGCTTGGTCTACATAATGCCAGAAAGCGGGATCCCAGGACTGGATAGTTATAAACAATTAATGAGGCACCCTTGTTTTGGTTAGATACTCATCAATTCTTCCAACTTTGAAGTTATTCTCTGGGCTGCCTTGAGTTACAAACACAACACATTTACAGAGCTTCTGGGAGAGCTTGCTATTATAGCAACCAACTTACATGACAAACAGTGAACAGTGTAGCTTGGGAAAAGGAATCAAATGCCTTTTGCGTTAATAATATTTTGGTTGTTAAATTTATACCACAATTAATATGCTGCACTCATTTATTACTCAATTAACATTATACAAAAACAACAATGCTAATTTAGAGTTTCTCTCTGATTCTGAACAAGACAGATGTGATATTTTGTGAATTTATCTCAGAAATTTCTCCAGTGATGTTTAGTTTTGGCTTTATTTCAAGCACTTTTTTTTTTTTTTT